AAATGACAAAAATATTCACCAAAATTAGAGAATTGAAGATATCATCATGAAATGAACAAATCTGAGAGAGGTCTAACCAAGGTACATATACACCAAGTATCAAAGCATTCAGGCTTGTAGTTTTCAAAAAGAAGTCGAAAAAGTAAAACATTGACACGGACGACGACGACAGACAACGGTGGACGACGACGGACAATCACTCATATGATAAGCTCCGCTCGACAAAGTCGACAGCGGAGCTAAAAATAATCACAAAAAAAATCTCACCAACTTCTTGTGTTGCAGAAAACTGAACATCTTGTGTAGCTCTGACTTGGTTGCCGATGGTTTCTATGAAACTCTGTGAATCAGATCCAATCTGAGTGGATTGAGTTTCTACAAACATAGGGGTAGATATTGCAGCATGGCGACGCTTCCAGGAATGATCAATCTGGTAGTCCTAGGGAGTCAAATTATATGACAGTCATCTAATCTTCAAAAACTTTAGATAAATCAGACTCCACAGGTTGATGATTATTACATTCAGTGTTTTAATGAAAATTGCACTATAATAATATAATAATAATATATTTTTAATGTAATTAACATATAAATAATTTATTTGCATTAACTCGATCTACAACTGATACATTTGCAAATACTCAATACTTACAGAACGACCATAAATTTACTTACTTCAAATTTACATTCTGACAATGCATGTTCAAAGATTTCTCGTTTATAATCTGGACTCTTCGATGTCATCTCCAGCAACAGACTTGTAGCATAGCTGAGGAACTGGTTCTCTGCATCCGGTGAGTACATGCATTCCAACATGGAAACCATTCGATCCAAAGTTCCTACGGGTAGTCTCGTCTCATGACTCCAAAAGTTACTCACCCTAAGTCGCAGATATGATTCCTCGTCAGAAAGTCCTTGCAAAAGAATTTCTTTTGTCATACTGAGGACTTCAGCAGCTGTGCTTGACTCTTCATCCCTGGAAATATAGCATATACTTTGAGATTATTACAAAAGGAAATTATCATCCAAGTTAATATACAGTTAACACTTACTTGTAATTATCATATATCAATGTCAATATACAGTTAACACTTACTTGTAATTATCATATATCCAGGTCAATATACAGTTAACACTTACTTGTAATTATCATATATCCAGGTCAATATACAGTTAACACTTGTAATTATCATATATCCAGGTCAATATACAGTTAACACTAACTTGTAGTTATCATATATATCCAAGTCAATACAAGTTAACACTTACTTGTAATTATCATATATCCAGGTCAATATAAGTTAACACTTACTTGTAATTATCATATATCAAGGTCAATATATAGTTCACACTAACTTGTAATTATCATACATCCAAGTCAATATACAATTAACACTTACTTGTAATTTTCATGTATCCAAGTCAATATACTGTTACACTTTTAATACTTGTAGTTATCATATATATCCAAGTCAATATAAGTTAACACTTACTTGTAATTATCATATATCAAGGTCAATATACAGTTAACACTAACTTGTAGTTATCATATATATCCAAGTCAATATAAGTTAACACTTACTTGTAATTATCATATATTTAGGTCAATATTCAGTTAACACTTACTTGTAATTATCATATATCCAGGTCAATAGTTAACAGTCACTTGTAATCACCTTATATTCATGTCATTATACAGTTTTGCAATTATCACATATCTGTGTCAATATACAGTTAACACTTACTTGTAATTATCATATATCCAAGTCAATATATCATACATAGTCTCTCTACATGCTGGGCTCAGATTCTTACTAAATGATACCACAGTTGGCATTAAGTACAGCAGTTCCTCTTCGTTTAATCTTTTTAACATGGATTAACAATCTTTAGAGACACGAGCTGAATAGTTTCATCTCTGAAAACATATATATTATTATAAGAATGAAATAATCAAATAAAGAAAGATCAAAGTTTATGACCCAGTAATATATTCATAATGCAACAGGTAAGCATGTCACATGATTATATGCAACCAATAGCAGAATGTCATAGAAAGAAAGAAATTACTGCAGATACCAAGTCATCAACATACAGTAAATGCAATAATTATTCACTGGGTTTTAATTTCCTTATTTTTCAATGATAAGTAAAATCTGCTACATTAAATGTATATGTAAAATAACAATAAAACTCATTGTTTCCTTGACAAATTTGTGTAATTAAAATAGTGAATAAGCTCAAAACATCAAAATAATGAAACTAAATGTCAGAGAAAATAAATGATTTTACAGTAATTAAAAATTAGTTAAATTTATAAAGTTTTATTGCAGTAATGCAAACTTTGACTGTGATCTACCAGTACCACTTACCTGTGCCTTAACATTTCCAGAATTCTTTTGTTTTTCATCTCAAGGAATATTTTGTCAATACTATCTACTCTGCCAAGGACCACCTCTAAAGCATAGGTTTTAGGTTGGCCATGAATTTGTGGTAACATGAAAAGCAACTTGTTAATAAACCTTTGAGAGAAATAAAAACATTATCAAGAATTCTGAAAAAGGATATTTCATTTTACTTTTATTAAAATTAATAAGAGTATCTTTGATTTCATGACGACTATAAGGTAACAATTTTATGTTGTAATGAGTTTGCAATGGAGTGCTACAAATTCTGAAGCTAGGTAATCAATATGCACCAGGGAGATAGCACATGGCTTAAAAGACAGGATCACAATTACTCAATTGTGTGATCGTTAAGATGTAATCAAATGAATATAGGAGATGATGGATGATGTTTCAAGTTTTGTCAAGGTTTGAGGCTTGGTAATTGATACCAAGTATACAAATGGAATTCATTTGCTTGCTATGTACCCACCTATCAGTAAATGGTTTATAATACAGCTGTACTTTATAGATGCATGTTATGAAAACTTCTGGTCTGCTAGACTGTGATGATGAGATTTCTCTGAATACATTATCATGAAATGTACCGTCAGTTACCTGATGAAAACAATACATGATTGTATCACATTTCAAATAAAACCTAGTGATTCCTGACCTATTTGAAGTGCTAAAGATTTTGCCATCCCACAGCTGTCATGCATACCTACTTTTCTTGTCAGAATCTGATATTTTACTGAGCAATTTGATTTAAATCTTTCAAAACCAAAGAGACTGAGATAATTACTCAGTTTTCACAGGTTTTTGGTTTATAATGAGACAAAGTTGGTTTTATTGACAGATTATTCTCTATTTTGTCTAACAGTAATCCAAAACTTCTCTGAAATGTCATTTGCATGGAATTATACACTGTATCAATTTACCTTTTCTTTCTCAGCCATGTATTTCATCACCATGCCAACAACCTCAGCTGATGCAGCATAGACATCTTTATATTTAAAAGAAAGGTTGGCACTTAAGGTTGTATAAAACCTGGTAAATATAAACAAATAATTATCACTTTGCTGTTACATTTAGTTTTTCTGAAAGTACTAATGTAATTGACTTGCCTGGAATGTGAAGATCAGAAAATGACTTACCCCGGTATTCATTGTACTTACCGATCTTTATCAATGCCACATGTATCTCTGTAAGGAGGTAGCTGATTGGATAGAATCACACCAAGTAACTGAATACCAGTAGCGTTTTCTTTGCCTTTAGGATCTTTACCAGAAAATGCTTCAAAGATAACCCTAAGAAAACACAGTAGAATCATTCAACTAAGTACAGGTGACAGTTGGGAAAAAATGTAGTCGCACACTGTACAGTGAACGAAGCCAAGAAATCAAATAATGAAAGTTCACTACACCAATCTTTTTGCTGGTTAACAAATTATTCCTAGATACATTTTAAAGTTGAATGTACATGTAGTGCCACGATGCTTGACATATGGTAACTTCTCGAGCTATATACTCCAGCCTGACGAATTTTCTCATTGTTGAATAAACATGTACTGAGAAAACCTTCTTTTGGACATTGAAATTACTGCTGTCTTTTCTGACAGTTTTGTCGTAGGTGCTAATTGCATGTTTCCCAAACCTAATACCGTAAAATCTGTATTAGAAGCCGCATCCCTAATAGAAGTCGCACCCAATCTTTTTGTACAATTGAGAACCAAAAATTCATCATTTCTCATATGTGTAGATGCTCTAATAGAAGCTGCATCCCCTCTGTTGCATTGTACTATTTTAATAGAAGCCGCAGCTTCTAATACAGATTTTACAGTACTTCATGTTTGGAAGGCAGGGCACATTGTACTCGATTTTTATACTGCTGAGTCGTCGGCTCTGGGAATCAAAACTCTGAATCTCCCTGGTTTGTACCATCGAGTTTTAGGGAAAAAAAACTTTTGCCTACGTTGGTCCCGTAGTTTGGAATATTATTCCATTTAGTACCTCATGCAAGTTCTCATGATTCTTAATTTTCGCACAGATTTTAAAAAACGATTCTTTTTAGATTTTTTAGACTTTTGATCGTTTTTTTGTGATTTTTTTAATGTGCTTAAAAGGTAAGTGTACTATATATTTTCTTTATTAGTCTTATAAATGAATGGCATGACTGTTGATGTAACAATGTATTGTGATGTCATACCTGGAAGGCACTTCAATACAGTCTCTCCATAGTTCTACAACTGTTTTCACCATCTCCAGATTATTACGAAGTACCTGCCTGTTAGAATGGTGAGTGTGATGCATCAAATACTCTACCAATCGGCTAGCTAAAATTCTATCACCTGCCTGTACGGTGAGATAAACAACACAAATCAAAAACCATTACTGTATGAATACATATCTAGTACAGGAGATCATTTGCCTTACATTATAAAGACAAAACATCAGACATCACTCGATCAGTAACAAAATTCAACTGAAATGTGTTGGCCAATCATCTCTAGTGCTTTATGCTGCATACAAATGGCAATGGTTCATACAAGCTTAACTGAACAACAATATATGATGAAATTTTCCATTTTGAAACCATGAACAATTCAAATTAAGGATGGCTCACACACTTCTGATACAGGGATTTCACCGGAATGGCCACCGGAGTAGGGCTCAATACAACAAAGTCACAAAGTAATTTTTTCCATGGAAACGGGTTTGGATGGCCACAATTTTTATTTGCATTATGATTTCTATTTGATATATTATCTGTCAACAAAATATCAAGAATTTATAGAGCTTTTCTGTTTTTGCTAGTCAGTACATTATAAATAAAGATGATCAAATTCAGCATCTTTGGGACATAAGTTTACTTCCAAACTGGCACCCAGCTGGATTTTCCCTTTCATAGAAACGTACAAGTTCAGCATCTTTGGGACATAACTTTACTTCCAAACTGGCACCCAGCTGGATTTTCCCTTTCATAGAAACGTACAAGTTCATCATCTTTGGGACATAACTTTACTTCCAAACTGGCACCCAGCTGGATTTTCCCTTTCATAGAAACGTACAAGTTCAGCATCTTTGGGACATAACTTTACTTTCAAACTGGCACCCAGCTGGATTTTCCCTTTCATAGAAACGTACAAGTTCAGCATCTTTGGGACATAACTTTACTTCCAAACTGGCACCCAGCTGGATTTTCCCTTTCATAGAAACGTACAAGTTCAGCATCTTTGGGACATAAGTTTACTTCCAAACTGACACCCAGCTGGATTTTCCCTTTCATAGAAACGTACAAGTTCAGCATCTTTGGGACATAAGTTTACTTCCAAACTGACACCCAGCTGGATTTTCCCTTTCATAGAAACGTACAAGTTCAGCATCTTTGGGACATAACTTTACTTCCAAACTGACACCCAGCTGGATTTTCCCTTTCATAGAAACGTACAAGTTCAGCATCTTTGGGACATAAGTTTACTTCCAAACTGACACCCAGCTAGATTTTCCCTTTCATAGAAACGTACAAGTTCTAGAGTGAGTATCATTGTTGTCAATAATTTTTAAATATTCTTTGTAGTATTTACCTAACATACCAAAAATAACACATATTTAGAAAGATCAGTTTACACAATTTAGATATATGGTGTTTTTGAAAGCAATCTAAAGCTAGATTTAAACAAGCTAAAAACTAGCTGTAACATATTAATATACTGTAAAATACTTAATTTTAGCTGCAATTAATTTTTGCTTAAATGACTTTATGGGTGTTTTGTATGGAATTTATTTTCACTGATTTTTGGTGAGTTGAATGTAAAATATACAAGAAAAGGTATATTCGCTGGATTTTATTTTCACTGAATCATTCCTTTAGCAAAAATAGTGAAAATTAATTCCAAGCGAAAGTATTTTACAGTATAGTAGGCAATATTTGGTGATCATTGTCCTGAATAACTATTCAAAATAGGTAGCTTTTCCGAGCTATGGCTCATTGCTGGTGGCATACGAAAAGATCATAAGTACTAGTGAAACACAAGGACACATATAACCACCACAAAATAGAATGACTTCACAATAGAACATGTATACATGTACTACCGGTATTAGTAGTAAGCACAGAGAATGAGTTGACTAGATTGTTAATGTTGTTATATAGTCCAAACGCAGAATATAGTTACATCCTCAATGCTTATTTTATTTGTGGACATATGAACGTATCTGTAATTTTATGCCCCCAAGAAATAATTTCATCTGCTAGTGAAGAAGGGCCATTGTGAAAAATGTCTAGTTATTTCAAACAGTTAAATAAAGACAATGATTATGTCCACTATATATTATATTTGTCAGTCCATTCAGCTTATATTAATTTAATACGTTATGTGTGGCTGCCGTTGCCCGAGCAACCGAAACTTTGCTGCGTTCCCGCGCTTTGTTTAGCCTCGTTCACTTGTTGGCGTGCTATGTACACGTGAAAGACGTCTTCTTCCGAATTTTACTACAGGTTATACTAATAGGTACTGTAGTTTTGTTGTTTAGACTTGTTCCTGATTCTTTTAGTGCTCCCACTCGTTTATTTATCTCACGGCAGTT